TTTTATACAGAAAAAACAGGACAACTTTCATGTATTTTGATATATGTTACAGGTTTACATTTAATAATCCGTTATCCCCCTCAGCAAGTGAGAATTAGGCAAATAATAGGTTGATTTTCTAGCTGTTAAATTTGGCAGCACATTTGGGCGTTTGTTAATGCATGGCACTCTCGAATTTACCAACTTCAATATACTGAAAGTTATCATTACATACCTGTTGAATAGTCTGGATTTGTCTGTATTTTGCAAAAAAATAGAATATAAAATACATTCCATCCAATTCCTCATCTTCCTTTACGTCATAATAGTAATCATTTATTAATTTATGGGTTAATGAATTTCTTCAAAGCAATAAAAACATTATGTCCTCTCCATCCTAAAACACAGATAATATGTGTAAGACGTGTCAATCCCTACATCTCCCTGATGCATAATGCAATTACTATGGACATAGACAAAAAATTATGAAAAATGTTTTACAAATAATGACTTTTAAGTCCAAAAATCATAAACACTAGTAATGTTTATTGTTTGTCTTTTTGACTGGCGGAGATATCTATCTGTCACTCGCAGGGTTGCTAAGTCTAACGACGATCACGTTCCGTGGTGGAGGGTGCGAAATGAATCTTTTACATTTGCTGGTTCTGAATTTTTTTCGTGAAAATTTACTAGGCATCATGATTAAAAGCATCACTGGCAGATTGTTCGATCCGGAATGGGAAAGATCTGCTATTTATGAAAATATTTTTGGTATCATCTAACCGTTGCAATAAGTGCACAAACACTGTGACATATGATTTATAGCATAACCCGCTGCCCTATCAATACAAATTTAACATACAGGTCGCCTAGCCGTGGGGATGCAGTGGACGGGATGAATATCACGGCAGCAACTGATGATTTGGGCATGTCTGGTAACAACGTATGAAGTGAAACTCGCTAACTTAACAAATTTGAAGATTTTGTACAATTTCCTTGAAAATGATGAAAGATATGTCTGATTTGGCAGGGTAATGTCGCAGCCAAATGGCAGTCACTCTTTCTGACACAGTCCGGATCGAAAGATGACGATACTCGTGAAATGTATTGATACTTCTAAATATATAATCGTATCGAACATCCCTACTGTCAAGATGTATAACCTGAGGCACCGACGGAGCTATTTTGCGGCGTCATGGAACTAATTTTAAATTTTCATTTGCATTTTTTCAAGTGTTGTGCAATGATTTTGGGAAAAATGTCACGAATAGTCTTATAAAGCATAGTAGAGTATATTTCAACAGTTGGCGGAACTTACTCCACTGGGACCAGGAGGGTGAAACGGGATATTAATGCACAATCTGGCAACCCTGTCGCACCCTCACAAAATGGCCGCTGACAACCACACAAGTCACCGTGTTGTCATTGAATAGCATGGAATTAAACCTTCAGAGTATATGTTTTGTGCCTGGTACCAAGAGTTGACAGATCCCACACATGTGTCACTCCTTGAAATGCAATAATCAGCTGTATTCAAATAATGTCCAATATAAATATAACCTAAAATGTGTACCCGTGAAAAAAGAAAAATATGGCTAATTTGTAGTTTTTTTTGCAGGTTTTAGGTTTGCTGGTAGCTTTAAGGCATATATTTGGGAATTTCTTAATCGCTGTGAATATAGTGTGGATATTTGTTCAGTTCCTGAACAACGAAAAATATTCAACTTTATGGATGTATGGATATCAAGAAACCTGAACAGTTTTGTGGGAATATCAATCTAAGGTGCCATAATGGTTCTGATGAACGGCAAGTGAATGAATGAATGTTTGGAAACGAGCAATATCTTTTGGTAGAGCCTGTCATCAAGTAGGTGCTTAATGGCTATCTGAAAGAAGTTTATAGGAAAAAACACCGACTATCGCATATCAGTTGAAGAAAATAATGTAAAGATGAACAAAAAATCAACAGTAGTAATTAAAACATGAATTTTAATCAAAAATCCAACATTTCTTTAAATTTTGACTGAATTATATGTAATTTCTTAATATTCAATAAGCTTGTGATGTTTCAATGACAAGCTGTCATCTCATACTTTGACAGTGTTTTGTTTTCAACATTTCATAGCTATTGGTTGCTAAAATTTGTTGATTGGAACTTGAAGCTCATTCGTTGTATCTGACGGTCTGTTACCCTCTAGGTGGAGAATAACGGACTGTTGTTGGTGAAATTGGCCCTTAGTATATAAGCCTGTTTGGCTGACTTGGCCCATTTAATTTTTTTTGTCATGCATGTTTGTGGTTAGCTCAAAGCGGTAAACTTGGGCCGAACATAATCCTTCATAAACTGATAACAGCGTTGCAGAGTCAACCCACTTGACGCCATTTTTTCTTTCGTCTTCTTCCCTATGTCATTAATGTAATATTGATTGGCCAACACTAACCGTACAAGAAAACTACATCCCGAATTCCGTTGCCATTATCCACGCAATATTGTAATAACGACCATTAAATGACGTATCGTATTACACTCAGCATAAAAAAATGTCCAGTAGTGCAACGATGACCCGCGATAAAAAAAACAATTAACCCCAGTGACAGATGAAGGTTTCTCAATTTTTACTTTTTCCTAATGACCAAACGTGCTCGTTAGCTGTATTGACCTGATGCGCCCCTCTTTTGCTGCCCAGCAGAATAATATCATGATCTTCATTGAGCAATTGATCATACACTGAATGGACTCGCGAGTGTCCTCGACGACTAGCCGTCGCGTTCTTGTCTTTTAGTGTTAACCGGCGAAACACTTTTTCAGTTCGACATTCGCTTTCGCGGTATCCGCGCCACCGCCAAATTCACGTCAGTGGATCGAGCTTGATCTAAAAGTGACTTGTGCTTTCAAGGGCTAGTTATGACGTCAAAGTGGATATAATATACATACCGTGTCTAGGTGAGTCGCAGCTATAGTATCAATTTTTACTGAGAAGCACGAAATAATTTAAGAAATACAAAATGATGGAAGTTTGATTTACTTTAATAATAATAATAATAATACTCTTTATTGCCCAACTGTCATAATGATAAATACAGGTTGTCCCAGAAGTCGACGTCAAGCCGAAACAGGGTGATAGGCAAAGTCATAACAGCTATCAGAAAAATATTTTAAAAAAAATTTATGTATGTGTTTTGAAAATTATAGGTCTTTGAAAAAAATATAGAAATTTCACAGCCTACGGCAGTCTGTCAAGTCCTGTTACTACAAATATTAACTTTTTTTGGATTTTATTTTTACAATGTAATGATGAATAATGCATCTTCAAACTGGTGTCTCAACCTTACTGCCAACTTTTCTCGTTCAGGAAAAATTGCCACTTATTTCCCAACCAAGTATTCCAAAGTAAAACTTTGCTCAACTTTAACTGGCTGTACTGGAAAAAATGTACTACGAGAGTTTGGCAAGTAACCTTAAAAGTTGGCGCATTTAATAACGATTCCAAAATGGTATAACACTTAGAAGATTACTCGTTGACTTATGCACAATTTTTATTTGAAAAAAACTGATGAAAATTTTTCAAAATTTCCTAATTAAAAAGCGATTATGAAAACGCACATGGACCCTTAAGGATAACTGTTTGCACAACAGTGGGCATCAAAATGCTGCTGATGATGATTTACCTTTACAGCAAATGCTCAAACTGTTTTCCTTCAGCCGCAATACAGCGCACAACAAAAGATCGGGTTATTAAACGAGCGAATCCACGGTTATTAACAAACTCAACTGCTTCCAATAGTCTTTGCCTTAGCTCAGCTACATTTTGAATCGGCTTGAAATACACTTTTTCTTTTACAGTCTACATCTAACGGATTCAAATCTGGTGACCGGGCTGGCCACGGTATTGTACCAGACCGCCCTATCCATCTGTCTGTAAAGTTTTGATCGAGATACTCTCTCTCTGAGAGTGCATAGTGCGCTGGGCAGCCATCATGCTGAAACCACATGTCCCTGTAAATACTCAGTGGCACGTCCTCCAATAAATTTTCTTAATGATTTTGCAAAAAACCTAAATAAACCACAGCAGTCAAAGTCTCTGGGAACTCAAACCGACCGATTATTTTACCATTTAAAATTCCTGTCTAATGGTTTATCTTGCAGCGATATTGAGATTTATCTTCTCTCATCAAATGTGGGTTTGCTACGTGCCACTCGTGTAAGTTATGCAGGTTCTTGTACCCATCTTTCTTAAATGTGGTCTCATCTGACCATAAAATTTTTTCAAAGAACCGTGGATCCTCCCTCTGTCTTTCTAACATTGTGCGACAAAAAGCAACTCGGGGTTCATAATCCCGGGGCAGAAGGGCTTGAACACGCTGTACGTGGTACGGATGGAGCACGTTTTTTTGCAAGATTCTATGGGCTGTACTTTTGGGCACACCTGTTTTTAGTTCTATTGCACGCACTGAAGTACTCGGGTCTTCTTCGACAGCTCCTAGCAACACGTATTTGAGCATATACGTAGACAGTAAATTAAAATTTGAAGGGCACTATGAATATATTGTTTCACAAATATCCAAGAAAATAATTTACCTTTATAGAATTTCGCATAGCTAACTGGCCGCGAAAGCCATAACCAATTTGCTATGCTTTCGTTCGCTGTCAGAGATACCTGAGCCTAGACCATGCCTAGGAGTAGCCAAAAAGCACGAAACATCTATCCGTGGTTGGCTGTCTTTGGTCGGACAACGAAAGCAGAGCGTGCATATTTCATACAGATTTTAATTTTCCTATCGTCCACTTCTTCAATGGTTGCAAATGTCCTCACCATCAAATGCACATATTACAGATAACGAAGCTTCTGTTTCACGTGCGTTCCCAGTCAAGACCGTGCACTTTCACTGAACGCGTTACGGCTTTGCGAATCCTTCGCGATCGTCCTCGCAATTTGAAAATTTAATTTTCTTAAAAACTCGTCGAGTGAGTGTCATTAACGAACTTTAATTGTGCTGACAGTGCGAATGTGGACATTTACCTGTGCTGGGTGTTTAAAAAGAGGCTGTGAAATCTCGCAGTCTTGAGGTAACGCTGCATCGTTGCACGAGAGTAATAGCGAAAATTGAAAAAGTGAAATTGCGCGCTGCAAGAATCTTTATTGGAATTACGAACTTTGGAGACGGCCTTTAAAAGTGCAAGCAGGAAGTCGCTGGTATTCCGGTTTTTATGTAACCGCGTATCCTGCATGATAAAATGACTCCATCGTGAAATAAAAATACATATACTAAGTGACATATAAATCCGAACACCCAGTTTAAATGGTTTTATTTTAATAAAAGTTGGTGAATGTATTTATCTTACTGTAAATAACAAGTGAAAAAATTTTCAGCCTTATCAGTTGGACATTCCGGTTTTTATACTGCTTTTTTTTAATTCACTAACGCTCTAAAAATGAATATTTCAGCCGCAGTAAAGAATCAACGTTGGCGGATTTTGCTTCTTGACATCCTTTACGATGTCTAGAGTACGGAGACATGTACGATTTCGTCAACTTAGTGAGTTTGATAGGGGCCGTATAGTGGGACTTCGGGAAGCTGGACTTTCTTTTCGGGCAATTGCAGTTAGAGTGCAAAGAAGTGTAGACACTGTGGTTAGGTGTTGTCAGGCATGGCTTCGAGAAGGCCGTACGCAAAGAGCAAGGGGCACTGGACGCCGCCGTAGAACAACAGACCGTGAAGATCGCCGCCTAAGATTATTCGCCTTAAGGGACCGTTTCTCCACTACCAGGTCCATTGCAAATGAATGGTTTGCAGAACACGGAAGACCTATTGGCATGCGAAGTGTTTACCGACGAATGAGAAGTTTTGGCTTGTTTTCATACCGGCCACACTGGGTCCTCCCTTTAACTCGAGAACACCGCCGTGATCGCCTTGAGTGGTGCAGACAACGGTCACTCTGGGATCAGGAATGGTCTTTAGTGACGAGTCTCGATTTTGTTTAGGCATGCACGATGGTCGTGTCAGGGTTAGAAGGCGACGTAGTGAAAGGAGGAATCCACAGTCTTTTGTTGAAAGACATGTTCATCACACTGTTGGAGTTATGGTTTGGGGTGCTATAGCTTATGGTTCCAGGTCACCTTTAATCTTCATCAGAGGTAACATGAACGCGCAGCGTTATATCCACGAAGTTCTAGAACCCCATCTTTTACCCTATCTTGACACCCTGGCAGATCCAACTTTCCAACAAGATAATGCCCGACCACATGTTGCAAGAGTCACAATAGACGTCTTTCAACATAATGATGTCACATTGTTACCATGGCCACCAAGATCTCCCGACTTATCCCCAATTGAGCACGTGTGGGATATGATGGGTAGGAGATTGCTCCATTTGCAACGTCCTCCTTAGACTCTAGAAGCACTTCAAGAGGAGTTGGTGGTTGCCTGGAATGAGATACCACAGGAGGACATTGACCACCTGATCAGAAGCATGCCTAGGCGCGTTGGAGAATGCGTAGCACATCAGGGTGCATCCACACATTATTAAAGGTCAAAGGGCTTTAAAGCAGTGCAATCATTTTGAAATTTTTATCATTTACTTATTATGCTTCATTAAGTACTTATACAAAATTTTATCAAAATAAAACCATTTAAACTGGGTGTTCGGATTTATATGTCACTTAGTATATATACTTTATATACCTTAAATGTGCTAAAAATGAGTTTAATTTGATTTTTTGGTGAAGAATATTGCTTACATAATAAAACAGCTATAATGGTCATTATGGCAATAATAATGATAATAATAATAATAATAATATTAGTAATAATAATAAAAACTATAATAATTATAATAATAACAATAATAATAATCATAATATATACTTTATATACCTTAAATATGCTAAAAATAGATTTATTTTGATTGTTTGGTGTGAAATAATGCTTATATCTCGGCGAAAACAGCGTTTTCGCCTTATTCACGGCAAAGTACGGCTATTCTACATAATAAAACAACTATAATGATAAATAGTAATAATAATAATTAAAGTAATATATACTTTATATACCTTAAATATGCTGAAAATAGGTTTAATCTGATTTTTTGGCCGGAACTATTAGCAGAAGATGACTTTTGAATATGGACCTATATGATAGATATTAAAAATTGTACTCACAATCATTTTTGAATTATTAATGCCCTGTTCACCATAAGAGCTTCTCCTTAAACTATTATGGCTCTCGACAGATGAGAATATACCATCGCATAGTAAACATTAGTCATTTATTCATCTCACAGATATGGTTCATTATATAACAATAGATGCATATAAAGTTAATGATACGTAATACGCAATGACGAAATGTAAAATACCCAAGACTATTAAGATAAACAATTGATACCTAGATATCAAGTATTCTGCATTTTCTTCCTGGTGGTTGTAATAGTGTTTGCATATGAACGCATACACTGTAACATTCCATAGATTATCAGAAATATTGAAATAATTAGGAAAATGTTTAAGGTAACTAAGAGGAGGTTATCGTTAACTTCTGGATCTGTTCAAGTATAGACGGTCCAAACATTAGCGAACAACAATACAGCTTTTTAATTTTTAACAATCGGTCCAGTTACAAGGAACTTATGATCAACGAAACAATTTTAAAAATAGTACCGTTCAGATCTTTGCAGGTTTTTGAAAAATGAAATCGTAATCATTAGGAGGTTTGTAACTAGTTATTTTGGTGGTTAATCAAAACTCAAACATGCGAGCTGACTGAATACAATTGTATTTGCTTTTTGCAATGTAATTATAAATTATAATTTATCATTACACAAAACAGTTAAAACACACCGTAACATGTTTACAGTTGTATAACGTTTTTACTATATTTGTACGCAAATGAATGTATCTATTAATTTCCATTCTCCGTTCAAGAGCAGCGATCTTGTAACACTCTTTGCATAAAATGGCTAACAGATAACGCGAGTAGTTTGAACTGATGCAAAGTTATTTTACATTTTTTGCGGTAATCGTGCTGGGAAAAGTGAGCGGAAATAGAATTGCAAATAAATTACAAAATTTAATGGATTCAAAAAGATAACATCGTTCTAGAACGATCTCAAAAATATTGAATTTTTGAGTGGCTGAAAGATAGAGGGTATGAATTTGTACATGGACAACAAATACACATGTTTGAGTTTCAATATATTGCGGAACCACTTAAATTCAATTCTTATTATATCCAGTGGTATTACGATTAGCTTTGATCAAACCTAAAACAAAGTTCAAATCATCAGCAGTTCTGAAGGATTCGCATATTCTAGTAATTAGTGTGCTCCATTTTGCTAGAATTAGTATGCATACGAGGGATGTCTTTTAAGTTTTACATATGGAAATAAAACAACACGGTAGGTAGTTTTAAATGACTTTATTGTTTTTCGAAGTATTCTCCACGAAGATTAATACACATCTGCATGCGCTCGAACCAATTTTCGAAGCACTTATTCCACTCGTTTGCTGGCAGATCCAAAACGGCATTTTTGAATGCGTCAACTGCTTCTTCTGGTGACTGGAACCTTTGACCGACTGATCTGGCGCTTCGTTGCCGAAAAGAGACAGTAACTCAGCAAGGCATTCTTGTTGCGATAATTGTCTCTGAAAGTTGTAATAAATTATGGCGCGAAAATGTTCTCGGTTGAGTTCCATTTTTCTAATGACTTGGTGACACTTCAGTACTGACGTTCGATCCGCGCGGCCTACTATGTTTCTATATGCAAAAGTTAAAAGACATCACTCGTACAGTGCTTTTCAGCAAGGTCCATCTGTTTGTTTTTTGAACGGGTTAAAGTTAGCAATGAATAAATTCATGAATAAGATATTTTGACGTAAAAGTGGTAGTCGAAAATTTCACCTAGAGATATTTTTTTTAAGTGGAGATTCATGTAGTGTGATACCTCAATTTAGAACAGTAGTACTTTATAGTACACATTTAGTATCTTTAAGATTGCCAGTTTAACGAGCTATCAAATTTGACAGTTGTAAATTAACATGTAGTCAACAAAACGTATGTTATATCAATTTTATTTTTTGGTAGGGTGTATGCCAAAATCTGAGATAATTCTCAAGCAATAAGGAAAAATATAAAATAAAATTGTAACTTTGACACCAAGTATCTCGCAAACTATCAACTTTTGGACTAAGGTATGTTCAGGTCAATTCACATATTTTCGCAGACAAAAAACCCTTCTGTACAAAAAATGAGTAGGAGGAGCTTTCTGAAAATCACTGAATAATATCAAGCACAAAACACCAAGGAGTTCGAGAAACAGATTCTTCCCTCGTTGCTAAAAGATAAGTTTTATTAGCGAAGCCCATCCAAAGGATCCTTCAACTAAAATTCCTACTAAACGTCACTGGGCGCTGAGTCCTTGCTGAGAAAAATTGCATTATATTTCCATCAAATCCTTTCAAAAGTAGGCTTAGACATGAAGTAATATTAATTCTTCGGCGACCAATTAAATAATTTCATTTACATAACCGGTGCTTTTACAATAATGACACATGTAACTACGTATGAATGACATGTCATTACATCTTGCGAAAATGCGTGATATGATACCACTATATGCTATACATTTGAACGAATCCACTTCTAAATTGTATGTACATTTTTATTACGTTTATGGTTGCTCTCTAAATTGGCGTGTTTATTGTTTAATAAAAATTAACGCCAAGATATCAACGTAATTTGCGGTAGCAATGGCGAAAAATGTAAGGAAACAAGTAGTTTCAGTGAATTTCCATAAGCGTTGGAGCTCAATTAGAAGTTTTTAGAAAACAATAACCCTGCTTGGCTATACTACAACTATTTAAAACTGTAATGACTCATACGCGTGATCAACACGTGATCAGAGCTCGATCCCGGCTTCCTTCCTGTACAGCCGTATAGCGTACGACATATGTCGTTTCTGTGGCTTTGCGGTGGTCAACAGCACAGACAGAGATGGAAATAATGGCTGATTGTTCTCCGCCGGTAGAACCAATGAAATCAAAGACGCGCCTCGACCGGCAGACTCATAGGCGTCGGCCACGCATTGGAACGTGTTTCGTTGAGCGATCGCATATTGTGTGTGGTTTCTGTGGTTACTGATTTGGTTACACTTAACCATGGAGAGTACAAATGGCACGAGTGGAAGTACTGAAAGCCAGGGAACAAGTAGACGGCTTCGTAAAGCACTGAAGAGGGACGCGAAAGAAATCGTGCTCAACGTGTTCAATTATCTGAACAGAACTATGTCGCAGGAAGATGCACTCGCGCGTTGTGAAAGTATGACAGGCGTTCCAGAGTGGACCATTCGCAGGGTGGTGCATGAAAAGAAGAAAACTGGAGCTACTACTGATCCAAAGTTTAATTTGAAGGGACGAAAGGCCGTTAAATTGGATGACGCTATCAAAATGGCGTTAAGGCGAACCGTACATTCATTCTTGTTTAGGAATGAGATACCAACCCTCAAGGCTGTACATGCAGCGATCAAGGAAAATGAAATTATACCCCAAATGGGGCTGAGGTAATGAGGAAATCCCTGCACCTGGCGTCGAAAATACCTACGCGAAATGATTGAATATAGGCGACAAAGCAGAAAAATCTATTATTTGGACGAGACATGGGTAAATGCAGGTCACACAGTTAAAAAAACCTGGACAGACAAAAACGTAGTGAGTAACCGACAAGCAAGCATTGAAGGTTTGTCAACAGGTCTTTGTGGACCGTCAGGGAAAGGTCAAAGATTGATCGTAACTCATATTGGTAGCGATAGTGGCTTTTTAGAAGAGTGTGACTTGATTTTCGTCTCTAAGAAAGGAGGTGATTACCATGACGAAATGAATGCCAGCTGCTTCGAGAGCTGGTTTCAAGGGGTGCTTCAGCGAGTTGAGCCCAACTCTGTGATCGTCATGGATAATGCTTCCTACCATAGTCGTCGAGCCGAACGTGTACCGACTATGGGATCTCGAAAAAGTGACACGCAGCAATGGTTGCGCGAAAAAGGAATCCCGTTTGACGATTCATGTGTGAAAGCGGAATTGTATGAAAAAATTAAACAGCACAAACCTGCGAACATTAGTTACGTGACTGATGACATGGCCAGTCAATGTGGTGTCACTGTGCTGCGGGTACCGCCCTACCACTGTGAACTGAACCCAATAGAGCTCATCTCATCATCATTCAAATTACCAGACGTTAAGGTTTTACTTGAGACATCCATACAGCTAGTAACGCCCGAAGCTTGGCAGAATGCTATCCGTCATGTTGTGAAGGAAGAAACAAAAATGTGGCAGCTTGACCACCACATCGACACCATCATAGAGCCAGTTATAGTCAATTTCAACGAGGAAAGCGATAGCGACAGTTTATTACTGTCAGATGTAAGTGGAAGCGACGATGAATAAAGGTAATTCCCAAATTTTTGACTTACAATATGTTTCAAACCACTCTTTATTAAGCATGTGACAAATCTAGTTCACCCATGTTAAACATTCATACCCCGCCTATGAACAGCCGACTACTGGTAGTTAAGTGATGTTCACGTGAACATCGATGAGTCATTACAGTTTTAGATAGTTATAGTATAGTTATGGACAGTGTCAGGTGAGATATTGCTCTAAGTAGAGGTCCTGAAATATATTTCTCCAAATAAGTCGATAACTTCCTGAGGATGTCGGAGATACTGGAAGAAACTTATCAGTTCGCCCTCGTAGGTGTAAGCCACAACGTGTGAGTCGCACTGGATGATCATGATTGATCCATTTCCAAACAATCTAATAATAAGCCGTATTCATAAAACAAAGGATATCCTTGTACTTACAAATCTTGAAGGAAATCCTCCAGATGGTATTTATAATAATTTTGCTTTTTGAGTATAAGCATATCCTTCAAAGCAGTGACTTAAGTAAAAGGATATTCATAATCTTCACCTTATACTTGGCATAGGAAGCATATCCTTAAAAAATTCTGAGTGTGGACAGTAGCAGACTCAATTTCGTAACGAGAGGTGGTCAAACGATGATAGCGGAAATTGTGGATGTTAGGGATGTTAAAACGTACAAACATCGTTTACCTTCACTTGGTTGTGACTTTAAACAATTATATCGGTTCGACGAAACAAATATACAATGGCTTGCGGACAGATTTTTAGTTGAGAATGAGGAAACTCGAGGAGGAGCACTTTCATGTATCCATAAAATGTAGATATGTGTACGCTATCTCGGTGACCCTGGATATCAACAAGGTATTGATCAGGAACTTGATGTTAGTCAAGCAACGGTATCTCGGACTGTGAATAGAGTTGTGAACAGCATAGTTGCACAGTCGAACGAATGGATCAAGTTTCCAACTACCATCCATGAACTGATGGAGGCCAAACGGATATGGCAAGGCATGTATACATTTCCGACAGCAATTGGTGTAATTGATTGTTCACATATAGGAATCCTGAAACCAAATCGCCTTGGAGATGAGTATATCAACCGAAAAGGGAAACCTACAAGTGTTGGTGTCAGTTGGCCTGGATCAGTGCATGATTCCAGAATATGGAAAAATTCACAGACTAGATCACAACTAATAAATAAAGCAAATGTTGTACTACTTGGCGATGCCGGTTATGGTATTGAGCCATGCCTTATGACTCCCTACAGAAATCCTACTCCAGGTGCAGAAATATATTATAAAAAGCTTTTAAAACAAGAACGAGTTATAATTGAACGCTGTTTCAATTCGGCGGTGTGTGAAGTCATGAAAAAGACAAGAAACACTATTCTTCTAAGGGACAGTGGGTATGGTATAATGTCATGTCTTATGACTCCTTACACCGACCCCCAAGTGGAATATCAGAGAGTCTTTAACAGGCTGCTTACATCGGAGCGAGTTGTGACTGAGCATACATTTGGGCAAGTAAAGCGGCGATTTCCTATCCTGAAGTATGGATGCAGAGTAAAACCGACCAGTATTCCAAAAGTTATAATTGCGTGTCCTGTGTTGCACAATATAGCTAAGCAATTAAGAGATGTAGATTTTCAAGAAAATGACGAAGATGAAGAACAGGAAAATGTTGATGCTATTCGCGCACAAGGACAAAGGCGGCGAGAGGAATTAGCTCGTCTTATTACTAATAACAATATAGGTGTATAATTAGGATTAAAACTTTCATGTAATGCTATGTATATGTCGTTTACTTCAAACGTACAAAGATGTATTTACTTAAACTAAAAATAAACTTACAAGTTTGAACTGGAAATAAACGTTTAATTATTTTTTTGTGATAAATGATACATTTTACATATACGTCTATTTACAAGTTTTGGTAAATATTATCTCCAACAATAACATACTCTTGCGGGGCTTTTTCGTTTGATGCCTCGTTTAAATTTTTTAGCTTGGCAGTGTAATATTGTTGTTGGAGACGAGCAACTTTCAGTTGTTCAACTAAAACTAATCATTAATAATAATAATAATAATGTCTTTATTAATCCCTTCACACTGCGAGGCAAAGTTTAGTCAGCTGGCTACTCTACCACTTAACCTCACAGCGCAGCGCATACATACAAAAGGAAAAACATAACAATGAATAGAAATCGACTAAATAATATATACAATAATTAAGCTTAAATAGATTAATCTTAATAATAAACAAAAAAAAAACAATAAAGACAAAAAAAAATATATCAGCCAGCTTGGCTAGCAGACCCCAGAAGGTGGTTCTTAATGGCTCTCTTGAATGCAAGTATTCCCATATTTTTGTAATTGTCATTAAGACTATTATACACCTTGACAGCGTTGTAGGTGAAGCTTCGATGGAAAATGTTGCTCCTATAACTAGGTATATGGAAGTCAGAGTTATGTCTCAGATTCCTGTAATTGAGATCCCCACGTGGTATCAGCCTTTTTAGTAGATAAGTAGGTAGCCTATTGATTTTTATTCGTTGTACTAAAATTAGTAAGTTATATGTGAAAAGCTGGTCAACCCTCAACCATCTAAGCTCATTGATCTTCTTAGATACATGGCTAAACTTTCGCAGACCATAAACGAACCTACAGCAGCTATTTTGAATTTTTTGTACTCGATATCTAGTCACGTAATCAAGACAAGGAAAGTAAACAGCAATTGAATAGTTTATTAACGATAGAACCAGTGTCTCAGCCAGTTTTTTGCGAGTCTTGAAATTCAGAATATGGCGATTGGTGTATAATAACTTCAAACGCATGTATGTTAAGCGAGATAAATGCGTAACATGTTGTTTAAACCTCAAATCTGAATCCATGGTGATCCCTAAATACTTCGCATGGTCTACTATAGGAATATGGGTTTCGTTAAGACTAGGAACAATTGTGCCATCTAACTGTTGTACTAACTGTTTTGGGCCAAATAGCTTAGTAGAACATTTTGAAGCATTGATCTTTAGACAATGTCTTTTGCAGTACTCTTCAATGTTAACTAGATCCAAGTTCAATTTATATGATGCTTCATGCATGTCCGAAGAATCAAAAGACAGAGTTAGCTGCGTGTCATCTGCATACGTTTGAATATTACAGTGCTGAAGGCAAGTATGTAGATCAAAGGTATAAACTAAATAGAGTAATGGTCCCAACACAGAGCCTTGAGGTACGCCAGATGCTACACTCTTTGCCGAAGAAAATCCCTTACGTGTTTTCACCTTCTGGGTACGATTGCGCAAATACGAATCGAAGAAACGTGGTGGCTTGTCAGAGAGACCATAAAATTTGCACTTACTCAAGAGAATACCATGATGTACCATATCAAAGGCCTTAGAGAAGTCTAGCAGAATCAGAGCTGTTCCTATTTGATCATCTACATGTTTGATGATATCATCCATAATATTTAATAAAGCGGTTGTTGTGCTATGCCCTGTACGGAAACCAGACTGATATTGAGGAATCATATTGTTTTGTTCCAAATAGTGGGCTGTATGTAGACAATTTTCTATAAAACCTTCGACAAAAAGCACAACATGCTGATGAGCCGTAGGTGAGAATACTCAAAGGGGCTGTTTATCTTCGCCAAAGGCAAAACGATAGCTTCCTTCCAGCAGCTTGGGAAAATCCCTGTCTCTAAGGACACATTTATAATATGAGTAATGCGATTCAAAATTTCTGGTAAGCAGAGATGTATCATTTTACGAGTAAGTCCATCACAACCCGATGTTTCTGACTTGATAGAAGTTGCTGGTCAACGTAGCGAAAAGTAAATGAAGGAACATTAGTGCAGAAGGAGCTATTATCATATTTAGGAATTGTAGACTCAATTAGCCTCGAGTAGGTAAGCCTTTTTTTCCCTCCTTATTGACGCTAAAGCATAATTTCTTAGTTCCTTGTAGTAAATCCAGTTTTCTTGATTGGGAGTACGTCTGAAAGTTATTAAGGCAGTATCCCTCTGTTTAAGTATAAGTTTTACTGTAGCTGTACCAGGGTACGGCTCTTTTATTGACGCGAGCAACTCTGACAGGCGCATAGGCATCAAATAAAATAGTGAGTGGTTCCGTTAAAATACATACTTTTTGTTCTATATCTTTGACATAAAAAATTCTATCCAAATTCATTCGAGTTAAATCAGTCTTAAAGCTGAAGCTAATCATTGAAGCTGGGTTGTCGTTAACTGCCTCGTCTCGTCAGACTCGTGTTTGCCCGAAGCAAAGGTAGGTTTTGGAGGAATTTTTTTTGCAGCAACCTCTTCAACCGATGTGTAGAATCGCTTTTTGATACCTACTACTTGAAGCATAATCATCTGATGAGCGTCGTTTTCCACCATAATGCCATCCTTTGAAGTAGGTAAAGAAGGTTGACTTGCCACGCCAATTGCAAGAGCCCCTAATAAAAATATACATGCACGATAAGTACCTACAAGGTAATAGTAAAGACCTGAATCTATTTCTCATCTGGTACCCGACTTAGTACAGGATTTATGTCCGCATCCATAGCCTTCAACATAACTTTCTCCCAGGACAAAAGACGAAGGGGCTTGTTCCCTGTTTTATTTTTGTCAGTTTTATTTTTCAGTCGCGTTTTCATATTGTTCACTTTTTTCATAAAAGCTTTAATATCCATCTCCTTGCCAAATAAAGTAACGTATTCATTAACGATATCAGTTAATGCAGCAGTTTTCTTCTTTTTCATCGCTGGACTTGAGATTTCTCGATAATCTCCGGAAATGCTTGGACTTTTTCAGCGATAAACATCTTCCCGTTGGGGGCATCTTCGGTAACTTCCTGTTCACTATCGGTGTCAGACATTTTAAATATTTTATTCACTTTAAAATAGCTGCACAAATAAGTTAGATGGATCTTCTTTACATCAATTGACGTGCGAACTGCTTTTAATTATGAGACAAATAAGATCAACCCCATCAGTTACAGACCACATACGCGTTGATTGCACGCTGCAAGTCATATCTTGTCGAAATCGCTAATCTCCGTACCTTTTACTTTATTTTCACGCAGCATTTGCTTGCAAGGAAGAGGTAGAGATTATGAATACGAACCTTTTACTTCTACCTTTTGCTTGTACATTTTACTTCAAAGTGAATTGTATACTAAGTGACATATAAATCCGAACACCCAGTTTAAATGGTTTTATTTTAATAAAATTTTGTATAATTACTTAATGAAGCATAATAAGTAAATGATAAAAATTTCAAAATGATTGCACTGCTTTAAAGCCCTTTGACCTTTAATAATGTGTGGATGCACCCTGATGTGCTACGCATTCTCCAACGCGCCTAGGCATGCTTCTGATCAGGTGGTCAATGTCCTCCTGTGGTATCTCATTCCAGGCAACCACCAACTCCTCTCGAAGTGCTTCTAGAGTCTGAGGAGGACGTTGCAAATTGAGCAATCTCCTACCCATCATATCCCACAAGTGCTCAATTGGGGATAAGTCGGGAGATCTTGGTGGCCATGGTAACAATGTGACATCATTATGTTGAAAGAAGTCTATTGTGACTCTTGCAACACGTGGTCGGGCATTATCTTGTTGGAAAGTTGGATCTGCCAGGGTGTCAAGATAGGGTAAAAGATGGGGTTCTAGAACTTCGTGGATATAACGCTGCGCGTTCATGTTACCTCTGATGAAGATTAAAGGTAACCTGGAACCATAAGCTATAGCACCCCAAACCATAACTCCAACAGTGTGATGAACACGTCTTTCAACAAAAAACTGTGGATTCCTCCTTTCACCACGTCGCCTTCTAACCCTGGCACGACCATCGTGCATGCCAAAACAAAATCGAGACTTGTCACTAAAGACAATACTGTTCCATTCCTGATCCCAGAGTGACCGTTGTCTGCACCACTCAAGGCGATTACGTCGGTGTTCTCGAGTTAAAGGGAGGACCCAGTGTGGCCGGTATGAAAACAAGCCGAAACTTCTCATTTGTCGGTAAACACTTCGCATGCCAATAGGTCTTCCGTGTTCTGCAAACCATTCATTTGCAATGGACCTTAGGCGGCGATCTTCACGGTCTGTTGTTCTACGGCGGCGTCCAGTGCCCCTTGCTCTTTGCGTACGGCCTTCTCGAAGCCATGCCTGACAACACCTAACCACAGTGTCTACACTTCTTTGCACTCTAACTGCTATTGCCCGAAAAGAAAGTCCAGCTTCCCGAAGTCCCACTATACGGCCCCTATCAAACTCACTAAGTTGACGAAATCGTACAGGTCTCCGTACTCTAGGCATCGTAACCGATCGTAAAGGATGTCAAGAACCAAAATCCGCCAACGTTGATTCTTTACTGCGGCTGAAATATTCATTATTAGAGCGTTAGTGAATTAAAAAAAAGCAGTATAAAAACCGGAATGTCCAACTGATAAGGCTGAAAATTTTTTCACTTGTTATTTACAGTAAGATAAATACATTCACCAACTTTTATTAAAATAAAACCATTTAAACTGGGTGTTCGGATTTATATGTCACTTAGTATATTTACATCCGCTACGTTGTTTTTCGGATACCGGGATTTGGAATAATACCTCATACTTTAACTTATAACAATAGAGCTTCCTCGATTTGAGTTCTGATACTTCTGATCTTGCTGCTTTCCCAGTTTAACTAAAAGAAGTAGTAAACATTCTGAGGGGCTTTTTTGAACATTTTTTTAGCTTCCGAACATTGTGGCGTTCAAAAAAGTATAAGCACATAAATGATTGTTCGATGACGTTAGAATATTTTTAACCTATAACCATTAGCATCTAGGGACAAATCAATTCAATTTTATTGACAGAAAAGACACACGATTTACCATGTAACACATATCTGGCAACCACTGGCCTTTTGTCTTATGAATATAAGATGAATAAACGAAATGTTAACATTCACGCTCGTATATGCATTTTTATTACATAACCTGAGCCAAACAGCAATTAATATTTTAATCGATTACATAACCGAAAATACTCACAGACTGGACTCGACTGATTGATGAACATTCAGATTCTCAAAAGTATGTTAAGTACATTGACATTGGGTGTTAATTTTACACGAAAATGATCTCATAGAGCTTTTTTCAGTATCTTGTAGAGATATTTGGTAATGGTGTGGCAGACATTCTTTTTCAGGTCATCAACATTAATTGTCTTATTACTAGTCCATACGTCAATGTACGAATAACGCAACAGTAAAAAAAAACTCGCAAATTGTCAACCTCACAACACACTTTGCTGCAACTGAATCCGATTGTTTTCATATGGAATAGACCTATCGGATTTCCAGCTAGGTATTTAAAAAAATAAATGTCCTCATCCCTTACTCGGCGTGCTCTCAATTGATTTTGGTGCATACAAAAGGTATGTCTGTTTTCAAAATAAATATTTAATTAAAATGAGAGATGAGTTCAGGGGTAAAACAGAAAAATATTCACAATCCCATAAGCAAGAATCGAAAAAGGAGTTTCCAGAATGGTTTGCAAAGTACTTTGAAAGAGCGACCAGTATGCGCATTGTAGAAGTTGTAATATAGAACTATGCCATCACTTTAAAAGCATTAATATCCCAGACTAAGTGACATATAAATCTGAACACCCAGTTTAAATGGCTTTATTTTAATAAAATTTTGTATAAGTACTTAATGAAGCATAATAAGTAAATGATAAAAATTTCAAAATGATTGCACTGCTTTAAAGCCCTTTGACCTTTAATAATGTGTGGATGCACCCTGATGTGCTACGCATTCTCCAACGCGCCTAGGCATGCTTCTGATCAGGTGGTCAATGTCCTTCTGTGGTATCTCATTCCAGGCAACCACCAACTCCTCTCGAAGTGCTTCTAGAGTCTGAGTAGGACGTTGCAAATTGAGCAATCTCCTACCCATCATATCCCACACGTGCTCAATTGGGGATAAGTCTTGGTGGCCATGGTAACAATGTGACATCATTATGTTGAAAGAAGTCTATTGTGACTCTTGCAACATGTGGTCGGGCATTATTTTGTTGGAAAGCTGGATCTGCCAGGGTGTCAAGATAGGGTAAAAGATGGGGTTCTAGAACTTCGTGGATATAACGCTGCGCGTTTATGTTACCTCTGATGAAGATTAAAGGTGACCTGGAACCATAAGCTATAGCACCCCAAACCATAACTCCAACAGTGTGATGAACATGTCTTTCAACAAAAAACTGTGGATTCCTCCTTTAACCACGTCGCCTTCTAACCCTGACACGACCGTCGTGCATGCCTAAACAAAATCGAGACTCGTCACTAAAGACAATACTGTTGCATTCCTGATCCCAGGGTGACCGTTGTCTGCACCACTCTAGGCGATTACGTCGGTGTTCTCGAGTTAAAGGGAGGACCCAGTATGGCCGGTATGAAAACAAGCCAAAACTTCTCATTCGTCGGTAAACACTTCGCATGCCAATAGGTCTTCCGTGTTCTGCAAACACATTCATTTGCAATGGACCTGGTAGTGGAGAAACGGTCCCTTAAGGCCAATAATCTTAGGCGGCGATCTTCACGGTCTGTTGTTCTACGGCGGCGTCCAGTGCCCCTTGCTCTTTGCGTACGGCCTTCTCGAAGCCATGCCTGACAACACCTAACCACAGTGTCTACACTTCTTTGCACTCTAACTGCAATTGCCCGAAAAGAAAGTCCAGCTTCCCGAAGTCCCACTATACGGCCCCTATCAAACTCACTAAGTTGACGAAATCGTACAGGTCTCCGTACTCTAGGCATCGTAACCGATCGTAAAGGATGTCAAGAACCAAAATCCGCCAACGTTGATTCTTTACTGCGGCTGAAATATTCATTTTTAGAGCGTTAGTGAATTAAAAAAAAGCAGTATAAAAACCGGAATGTCCAACTGATAAGGATGTTGTTATTTACAGTAAGATAAATACATTCACCAACTTTTATTAAAATAAAACCATTTAAACTGGGTGTTCGGATTTATATGTCACTTAGTATATAAATATTTGTATTGCATAACTTTTCCCTAATATTTTCTAAACGTACCTGGTAACATTTCTTCAAATAGTTTTTGCGCAATGTGGATTCATTTGGGATATGGCGGTTACAATATTTTTCTAAAAATTTACGGAACGCCGGTTGTTCTAATTTATTCCATGGTATGTTTGATTGTGCCATGGAGTTGCATAAATCAAAATAAAATTCATTTTTAGAATCCTGGTTTTGTTGGGAGCTGCCACATAATGCAGTTGAAACAAACGTTTGTTACACTTTCCCGTTAAATCGTTTCTTCATTTCCTTGTGAATGGCTGTAGATAATATTATTATTAAGCTCTTAAACAGCTAGAGATACCACATTTGTTTCATATAAAGAGAGACAAAATCTATACGTCAGAAACCATATATTTAGGAATCTTCCAGATATTTCCAAAATAGACATGTCGTAAATCACAAAAAACGATGTAACTCATTTGGATGAAATAGAGAAGAATACGAAAAAATTAAAAATCGCCATAACTGCTGATTATTTTCAGAAACATTTTTGTACGGGTTATAAATTGGGGGTGGGGGTTGTAAGGCGTAATTTTTTGATAGTATATTTATATACTCCCAACCCTGTTAATCCTATTAGCCAAATAATCGGTTTCCCCGGGCACAAGGAACTGTCTTAGGTCCGCTGTTATTCAATATATATTTAAATGATATTTTCCAAATTAATTGTGTTGGAAAAATAACTAGTTTTGCAGATGATACTGCAATATTATATCAAGGCACTGACTGGTCTGATCTGAAAAATGTAATTGAAAATGATTTTATCAAAATTATTCGGTGGTTTAACAGTAGAAAATTAAGCATTAACTACTCTAAAACACATTTTTTACCATTTGGATCTTATGCTAGACATCTGCCAAATTACACAAATGTCTCCTTCAACATTAATGATCAAAAAATGCAAATTAATAGAGTGCCCAACATAAAATACCTTGGAGTGGTCTTGGATGCTCACTTACGATGGGACATCCATGTCAATTATATTTTAAAGAAAGTTAGATTTGTATCCTACAAAATTAAATACCTTGGGAATATATTGACAGAAAAATATCTTCGAACATTATACCATGCACTGATTGAGCCTCATCTCACATATGGTATATTAGCATGGGGAGCTGCATGTTCCTCACATATCTATAATTTAGATGTTTTTCAAAAAAGTATTCTAAAAATGATATTTAAAAAACCGAAACTTTATCCCACTGAAAAATTATACACAGATGTTCGAATGTATGATATAAGACAGCTTTATTTCTTACACAGTATCACTCACTACCATAAATTTGTAAACACCGACCAAAAAATTAAACATAATCATTATACCAGGTACAAAATTCGTGGCACAGTAGTTCCTCAACCGCATAAATCTATAATGCAGCGATCATATTTCTATTTAGCGCCTAAATTTTATGAAATTATACCTAAAGACTTAAAAGATTTACGTTTCGGAAATTGTTTCAAAAGAAATTTAAAAAAGTGGCTACATTCTATATCTATTACTGAAATTCATAAACTCATAAATACGAACATCAACTAAATATACTAAGTGACATATAAATCCGAACACCCAGTTTAAATGGTTTTATTTTAATAAAAGTTGGTGAATGTATTTATCTTACTGCAAATACCAAGTGAAAAAATTTTCAGCCTTATCAGTTGGACATTCCGGTTTTTATACTGCTTTTTTTTAATTCACTAACGCTCTAAAAATGAATATTTCAGCCGCAGTAAAGAATCAACGTTGGCGGATTTTGGTTCTTGACATCCTTTACGATCGGTTACGATACCTAGAGTACGGAGACCTGTACGATTTCGTCAACTTAGTGAGTTTGATAGGGGCCGTATAGTGGGACTTCGGGAAGCTGGACTTTCTTTTCGGGCAATTGCAGTTAGAGTGCAAAGAAGTGTAGACACTGTGGTTAGGTGTTGTCAGGCATGGCTTCGAGAAGGCCGTACGCAAAGAGCAAGGGGCACTGGACGCCGCCGTAGAACAACAGACCGTGAAGATCGCCGCCTAAGATTATTGGCCTTAAGGTAACATGAACACGCAGCGTTATATACACGAAGTTCTAGAACCCCATCTTTTACCCTATCTTGACACCCTGGCAGATCCAACTTTCCAACAAGATAATGCCCGACCACATGTTGCAAGAGTCACAATAGACTTCTTTCAACATAATGATGTCACATTGTTACCATGTCCACCAAAATCTCCCGACTTATCCCCAATTGAGCACGTGTGGGATATGATGGGTAGGAGATTGCTCAATTTGCAACGTCCTCCTCAGACTCTAGAAGCACTTCGAGAGGAGCTGGTGGTTGCCTGGAATTAGATACCACAGAAGGACATTGAGCACCTGATCAGAAGCATGCCTAGGCGCGTTGGAGAATGCGTAGCACATCAGGGTGCATCCACACATTATTAAAGGTCAAAGGGCTTTAAAGCAGTGCAATCATTTTGAAATTTTTATCATTTACTTATTATGCTTCATTAAGTACTCATACAAAATTTTATTAAAATAAAACCATTTAAACTGGGTGTTCGGATTTATATGTCACTTAGTATACATAATCTACTGTAGCTAATTTTTGTCCTTTTTTGTCATTTGCATTCTACAGTTTCAACTTAAATTATTGGTCCATGTACAGGCGATGCCTTCTATTGGGCCTGTTTTGATTTTATATTTATTTACTCATATTGTTTGTTATCTTTGTACATTGAGTAAATAAATATTATTATTATTATTTGCACTTAAAAACTCGAAAACATGTTTTCGACATGCATCTCCTGCTTCTATGTGGGCTCACCGCCCGGCGTACCGGTCTGGTTGACTGTTCTGCTCGTACTGCAACGGTACCGCGTCGGGCGCTGTCGCCTCTGACGATATGGGTAGGGACAACGTTGCCAGATGGACGGTAATTACCTGTAGGGCAGGGAAGGAATGCATATGGACTAGTTATATGGGCCTGTTCGAATGACTTGATCCGTTCAAGTTCTCCGCTGTACATGCGTAACTAGTTTTTTCTCAGAGGGTTTAACTCGTGCTGAACCTCATCCCTTAAAAAACGATGACGGTGTTTCGTGGGGAATGCAGAGTTAACCTACTCGACGCCATTTCTTATGAAAATCGAAATAATTTAGGCAAAGTTAGGTTTCTTCTAAATTGCATAAATTGTGACCACGGGCAGGTGCTATTGTAAAAAATAAAACATGCTACATAACGGAAACATTATTATAGTAAGATACCATGTGTATATTTGCTCAACATACTTAATTTTTGGCTGTAATCGGTAACGATATTTTTTTCAGCAAATTTGGCAACTCATATCCTGTATTTACGTAACTCGATCCTTGTACCAATAAGTTTGTATGTATATATACTAATACGTCTAATAGTTAATATAATTTCAAGGAGTAATTTCACCATGTTAAAGATGATATTTCATATCCTGATCATGTAGTGTAGATAATATCTTCGGTTCAATGTTGCTTTCTGAATGATCTGAATTGTTCTACGTCGCATACACCGACCGACATTTCTGGAAACGGAAATAACATAACCAAATGAAGAAATTGAAACTTCGTTACCTGCAACACACTGACGTGAAAAGTTATTTGTATCTTTTTTCTAGGCATGCAGAAAGTTTGTAGGCAATACCTTTTAACATTTTATTTTCACTTCGTTCTGGCTGTTAAATGAAAAATAATTTTCGCCTGTTTCAGCTGCTACTACAGCAGATTTAAACGTACAAAATTCACACAATTACGTGAAGTATTTTGATTGAAATATCGGAGCTACGTTATACAAATCGAATGCATTCGTAAACACAATAGAAAGGAAGGTAAGCTAACATTTTGAGGCACTTTTCATCCTCAGTCTGTGTTCAAGCATTACGTGTTAAGTAAAAGTATACGTGCGATATAAATCATACTTCTCGTTCATGCAGGTCGGTCCGCCTTCGTTTACACGGAAGATTATACACGCCTATTGCTAGTTACTGATTTTTGTTAAGCGGTGCAATGAAGCATGCAGTTTTTTCTGGTATGTGGAAGCTTGTATCAGCCCTCAAGGTGGTACAACAATGAACAAATAGTTAAATAAATATTCTTTTTAAGGAACAGCGGTTTTATTGACATGAAAGTCGTGCGTAAAACTATACAGGGTGTTTCGGTTTATTGTTGCATAACTTTAAGATTCGATAGAACTTTTAAAATTAATGCATAAAGTCTATATAAACATGGGTCGAAAAATGCGTGGCTTCCGAAATACAGGGTGTTTAAATTTACCTTCTAAAATAGTTGTTTTAAATATTTCGAACAATATTTGATGTATAACAGTGATAATTGGTATACACGGGCATAGTTTTACTGTAGCCGCTAGAGGGCGCTCTCTACTGTACCTGTAGTGTATTAAAATGACCGAAAATCTTTTCTTAGTGCAATTTTTTGCTTTTTGAATAAAAAAACTGATTCTTCGCACTTTTCAACATAAAAAAGCTCTCTTGTGAATTTTCGTTATAGTTAGCCGTTTTTGAGATATTTCGATTTTTAAGGTTCGATGCATTTTTAATTATTTATTTAACGTTAAAAAGTCAGTATCTCGATAATTTTTAGAAGTAGGCTGTGCCTGCAAATATTTGTGGAATTGAAAGCAGAATAAGGTTAAACGTCAATTAGTTGACAGTTAGTTTTGTTGTCTGTTGAAACCTGAAACGTTTTTTTGCAATTGTGAATGCACGAAATTTAGTTTCTTTTACCTGTTTTTTTTTTGTAGGTTTTATAAAACTGCCATTTTTATTCTCCAATCAAGAGTTAGCGGATATTCATTTTGTGTATGGCTTTGTAAATGGAAACGCAGCAGAAGCAGCCAGAGAATACGCACTAAGATTTCCAAACAGACGACATCCAACTCGCTCAGTATTTGTAAGAGTGCATCGCCAAATAATTGAAAATGGTTTTGGAAATCTCCAAATGGATCAAAACATAAATGTTCGTCAGCGCAGATTTACCCGTATGATTCTGCGTGAGTTTGATAGAGATCCGACCACAAGTGTTAGAAGAGGTTCTGGTGCCTTGGAAATTTCAGCAAGCCATGTTCACCGTGTTTTTAGAAATAACCATAGACGTCCTTACCATTTGCAACCTGTGCAAGGACTACAGCCAGGGGACGGAGAACGAAGAATCACATTTTGTCAGTGGATTCTTGATAGAACTGATAATAATAGGGAG